GGTACATGGTGTTGTCGACGGCCTCTGGCGCGCTCAGTTCCTTCGAGACGTTGAAGACATGTGCTATCGCACGTTCCCCGCCTGGCACCAACTTGAAGGCAACGCGGCCCCTGATCAGGCCTGTGAGAAGTTCGTTGAGGACATTCGCGGCATTGCTCTGGGGTGCTTCGCTCGATATACAGAAGAGGACGTTGAACATGCCCGAGCCCGTGAGGCCCAGCGCACTCTCCTTCGTCAACGTTTTGAGCTTCGAAAAAAACTTGCGGACCTTCCTGCTGTGGTGATCGCCACCAGTGTGCCCTTCCAGGAGCTCACCCAGGTCCAGGCCAGATTGTTTGCAGTTACTCGTCAGGTTGAGCAAGATCGCGACGCCGACCGTCAGCGACGTATGGAGTCACTCGCTGAGCAGATCTGGGGTGCTTGGAAAGCATCCCGCCGGGCGCTTGTGCATCGGTTGTGCCGCCGTCTTGCCTGCGCAACAGTGGGACCAGGTCGACGTTTTTTTTTCTCAATCAGCCGCTCAGCATGCGACCCACTATTCAGATGTGGGCCGACTTTCTTGCACAACGAGGGCCTCTTGGAGGCCAGTCAGCTATCCAAGTTGATCCTGTCTCTCTGCCTGCTGATCGCCTGGAGGACGGGATGGGGTATAGGTTCTACGGGCCAGGCTTTAAGGAGGGGGCGGCGAGGGACCTCAGGGGCATCTGTCTGTCTTTTAAGAAGATGGCTTATCGTAAGAGTGCTCCCCCATGGAGCCTACCCATGGAGATCTTCAGGACGATGCTGCCCCCCGCACATCGACACCCCAAATACAAAGACGAACAAGACGCCTTCGCCCAAACAATCCCCAGCATGGAATGGTTATCGCGTCGTGTCCGAGGGTTTCTTTGGGACGTCCGCGGGGGGGCTCGTTTCCCACAAACGCGGCATCGTTCTTGGGGCTGCAGCATCCCCAAACCTGCGGCTACATCTACTGGGCTTCGCTCTGTCCGCCTTGTGCACCGTATGTGTTCCTTCAGTAAGGCATGCAGCAGATGTCCTGGCCACCGCGGTGATGCCTGCTATCCTGAGAGAGGTTTTGCCGACCACTTGCACGGTGGCATTCAGCACCGACGCCGTGAAGCAGCTATTAAGATACAACTGATCACTGGATGGCGTCTTTCACGCCTGCGCAAGTCTCACTGCGCGCTTTTCTTTGACCAGGCCAATGCCTGCGGCAGCCTCTCCGCCGACATCCTTGATGAAACAGATTATCTACATATGCATCCAGATGATATTTATTTTGGTCATCATAGTGACCGCCATGGTATTATCACACTGGATTGTTCTGATGGAGTGGGGCACTTTCAGGTTCAAGAGGGAGTTCTCCAGGGCCATCAATCTGCGCCAGTAAAATATATTCGCAGTTTTGATCGTAGCGTCTTAGCTCCGTGGCTTTCTGAGAGGCAAGCAGCTGCAGGTGGCAAAGACCTTATGTGCACTAGCCCGATGAACGATATCGCTGATCGGACCATAGATTTGTCAACTACCGTCTACTTGGATGACACGGCTCATAAGGTCGTCGCCCCCACAGCGCACGCCATGGCTGATCAAGCCCGCCCTGCTACTGCCAATCTTACCTGCCATCTTGCACGAGCTGGTGGCGCTTTGAATCTTGATAAGCAGGTCACGGTACCTCGTTTTGTTGGGCCTGGTGCCTTTGGTGAGTCACGTTCGTTCACTGACCCCGTGCGTTGCCGACCAGGTCGTGTCAGCACACATGCAAAATATCTAGGGGCACAATACCATGGCGCAGGTACTACAGCACAACAACGACACGCCATACAGAAGAACATGAGGAGTGCATGGTATGCAATGGGACGGTTCTGGTATGTCAAACATGTACCCCTACGTATACATCTATTTGCATTTCAGGCACGCGTGCAGGCAGCTGGACTCAGTGGTCTCGAGGCCTTCATCCCTTCTGCCAGTGAGTATAAGCTGGTCGACGGCCTCGTGCTGCAGTGGGGTCGCACGTTGCTCAAAGGAGCGGCAATTCTGAAGATCCCGCAGGCCGACGGCCCCCTCAAGCATATATCTCTCCCGGCTGTGCGTATTTGGACAAAACTTGGTTTAGTTCCCTCGCAGCTAGAGCTCCGCATACGACGGCTACACTGGCTGCAGGAGATTGCTGCCCACTGCTCTGATAACAAGCAGCTGTTGGCAGCGATCCTTGGACAGATGGAAGGGGAAGAACACCCTACTTGTGAAAATAGTCTTCTCACACGGGATGATGCTGGACAGGTTCGTGGGAATCCCTGGGCCCTTCAGGCACTCAATGATTTTAAACTTCTGGTACATGTTCAGGACGGCCCCGAATTGCTCGCCGCCATGGGATACGTTCACTTGAAAGCTTTCACCGATGAGTTCAGCAAGAGGTTTTACAAAATCAACTTCAGCAAGCTTCGCGATCGGTACTGGGAGGGGGAGATCGACGAGATGGGCAAAAGGCGGGTGGAGGTGGGAGACGGAGGAGCTACTGCTGCTGGAGGAGGAGATCAGCATGACCCCGACCCAGCACCCCCTCCTCGAGTCTGGAGATGCACGGAGACGAAGGCCGATGGCACGGAGTGTGGCTTGGAATTTCACGATCAACAGGGCTGGTATGCACATATGAGGTTCAGTACGGAGGGCAGTCATGGCCATAGATCTCTTGCACAGCTCCTCACGGTCACCAATCAATGCCCCTGGTGTATGAGCACACACTCGACGGTTGCGATTTCGCGTCAGCACGTTCGCCGTCTTTTCTTGAAACGAAGTTGCCAATGCGATCGAAGTCCGATTCATCACGAGATAATGCTGCCCCCCACGTTCGAGTGCCCTGCGTGCAGTAAGGACCATCCGTCACTTGAGGCTCTTCAGCGGCACATTCGCACACACACATCGATTTGTCCGACGCCACCTTCTCCTTTGCCGCGCCCCATGTCGTGGATGCTGCAGATCGGCCAGACGGACCTGGAGCAGGCGAAGAAGCGCGTGGGCGATTCTCAGATGAGCTCGTTCAGCGCTGGAGGCAGCGGCAAGCCGCGCGCGCCCAAGGTTCGGCGTCAACACTCGCCTGCAGCAGCGGGAGATGGCGACCTGGCCATGGACGACAGCGACACGGACGGGGAGACAGCTTCCGAGATGATGAAGGGAGTTCTCAACACCGCCCAGAGGCAGCGGGCCATCGAGGGCTGCCTCTTCAGCACACACCTACTGCCGAAGGAACACGGCGTGAACTACGCTGCGATCGGAGCCGCTCAGAAGTACGCAGACACGGTGAAGGACAAGCCCTCAGACCACGGCCTCGGTCCTCCCAGCTTGCAGGTGAGCATCGCGGTCCTCGAATCGTTGGTCGCCCAAGAGCAGCTGAAGATTGACCCGCTCCTCCAGGACCATCTGAAGTCCGTGACGGCACTCATTCAACATAGCATGAAGCAGCCGATGCCCATCGCCTGCGAGACGCTGCGCTACTGGAAAGTGAAGACCGCGTTCGTGAAGGAAGGAGCGCCCCCTCTCGTCCGCCACACGTTCTTCGTGAACTCGTGGATCCAAGTAGCGGGAGGAGTGATGATTTCCATGAATTCGATTTTGACGGCCCTTTTCCTCGCCCTCGGGAGCACACCGAAGCTGGGCCCCACCCCGAAAACCACCCAGGAGCGCCGAGTTCAGAACTCCCTGGAGAAAATGCTCCGCGGGGCCCGCCACAAGAAGGCGTAGGAGCTAGGCAGGCCCTTGGTTCGATCTCTGAGCGTGGACGGGTTCAGTTTCGGGGAGAGTGGGACCCGCTGGTGCGCCCTAAAGGCCGAGGTCGAGGCAGAGGTCGCGGGAAGGGGTCTTCTCAAGGCAAGTAGATCGTTCGAATACAGTCTAACTGTTTCAGGGGTGTGCACCTACTGCCCATGAAGTTGTTCCTGACCTCACTTGATTTGGCTTTCTGGCCTGGCTGGCCGCTCCCCCCCCTCTTCTCCTCCGCTGCTGCCGCTCTCGGCTGCCGCCGCTGTTCCGCTTGTCTCCTGTGCGTCCTCGAGATGTAGTCTGTGTATGCACGTACAGGCCTCTCGACCCTGTGCTGCAATCAGGGAGTCCCCAAGCTGATTGCTGGGGGAGGGGCTCCCCTAGAGTTTGACATCGGCGGGAGCATAGTGCCTCCCGAACGCCCTGCGGCCAGCGTCGTGCCCCGACCAGCGAGACTTGGCCATGCGCAGATAGCGAGCGAGCGCGGAGCCTCCTCCTCCTCCTCCTCCTCCTCCTCCTCCTCCTCCTCCTCCTCCTCCATGCGAGATCAAAATTTGTTCAAGACAATCGGGGGGGGGCGCAAAGGTGGGGCTGGGGCAAAGGTGGGCCTGGAGGGAAAATCGCTCCGGACGGCCCCTGGAAGGAGGAAGCGCGCTAAACGGGAGCATCCAGCTGGACGCGCTCCCCAGCCCCACCTTGGGATAACCCTCCCTCTACGAGCCCCCAAGACAAATCCCCGAGAGCACCGACCCGCTCCCTGGGGCCAGTTCGCCCCAGATGCCCTTGGCGGCGCGCACAAAGGGGGATGGGGAGGGGGGAGGCTTCTTAGAAGCACCCTGCTTCTTACAGGGCACCCGCCTTGTCTGTAGATGGAAGGCCGGCGCCTTCCAAGAAGAAGCCTCCTTCTACGAAGCTTCCCCTCCTTTCCCCTACCCCCCTGTGCGCGCCGCCAAGAAGAGGACGACGAGGAAGAGGAGGACGACGGCGAGGAGGAGGAGGAGGACGAGAACGAGGAGGAGGAGGAGGAGGAGGACGAAGACGGCGACGAGGACGAGAAGGTAGACGAGGTGGAGGACGAGGGGGAGGACGACCAGGAGGACGACGAAGAGGAGGATCCATTGCTGAGCCCCCGAGGCCAAAACCCCGATTGAAAAACCATACCGTCGCAGAAGGCGTGCCTGGTGCGGTCGTCCGTTGGCGCCCCCCCCCTGCCAGTTGGCGTCGCCCCTGTGGGCGGCGGCCTGTTCCGGCACGAGCGGCATGCCCTGGCCCATGCGCGAGGCGTGGAAGGAGCCCGCCTCGCGGTGGAGGTGTCAGGGAGGCTTTCCGGAGAATGATGATGATGATGATGATGATGATGATGATGATGATGATGATGATGATGATGAGGAGGAGGAGGAGGAGGAGGAGGAGGAGGAGGAGGAGGAGGGAAGAGGAGGAGAGGAGAGGAGGATCGCACGCCACTGAGGGAGAAAGAAAGAGAGAGAGTCCCGACGGTTCAGGCTGAAACCCCAGGGGGGGGCCCATCAGAGAGGGCCTTTTTGTCACCTCGGCGCAGCTCGGCATAGGCAGCGGCGCGCCGAGGGCCAGCGACAGGGGCCCCCCTAGGAAAAAACCTCGCCGTCGTCTTTTTCGAGGGGCTCACCCCTTTCTTTAACTTGAAGCTCATCTGCGAGGCTATCCGCCTCCGCTTCGTTCAACCCGAAGGCCTGGAGACAGTCGGCTAGGCACAAACGGCGCCCAGCGCACAGAGCAGGTGCCGAAAACACTCCCCGCACCCCCAGGCTGGGAGGAGGAGGAGCAGGAGGAGGAGGAGGAGGAGGAGGAGGAGGAGGGGGAGGAGGGAAAGGATGACGAGGACAAGGAGGAGGAGGAGGAGGAGGAGGCCCCACCAAATGTGCTCGCGCCTTGGACAAAAAACAGGACGGTATGTTCTTGGCCGTTGTCTGCCTCCGGGGGCCCTTGCCCAGCCCTGCAACCATCAAAAAAGACGGCTGAGGATGAAAAAGCCGGCCCGAGAAAGGGCCTGGACTTCTGGGCACCCCGTGTTTGTTTTAAGATGTTTTAGATGTTGTGCAAAAAACGGGCATCACATGTAGAGGAAGAGGAGGAGAACGAGGATGCGGATGATAATTCTGTGGCAACTCGCGGAAGCCACCCATGTCCTCTTGCTGTCAATTGCGAATCGACGCTCACCAATGCGGATCGGCTCTAATCGACGCGAATCGACGTTGAATTTGCAGTTTCTCATAGACTACCAGACGCTATCGCACATTAGCGCACTCTAGACAAGGAATTTCGAAGGCACACGCGGCTCCCATGACTAGCTACGAAAGGAGGAGGAGGTGGAGGAGGAGGTGGAGGAGGAGGAGGACGAGACCCCCCCGAAGGAAGATGGGGTCAATGGCTCCAGCCGCGACGTTCGTGATGGCGCATGTTTCGCGCAAGGCCGGATCTCAGGGGGGAGGGGCCCCCACAAGGAGGAGGAGGAGGAGGAGGAGGAGGAGGAGGAGGAGGAGGAGGAGGAGACGACACGAAGCGAACGCCGGAGTGGCGCGCGCTCCGATTGGGAGCGCGCCCGTGCCCATCAGTGCACGGCTTGAAGGCTGTGGCCTCAAAATCCCACCAGGCCGCTGGGCGCAGGTGGTCCAACGATGACTCTCTTTACTCTTCCAAAACCCTTCTTCCCCTTCGGGGAGGGGTTTACCCCTCCCCCTGCCCCATCCCCTAGACCTGGACGGGAGAGGCCGCGAGGGGTTAGAGCGTCCAAGATCGGCCCCTAGGAGGGCCACTTTTTGACACCCCTCACGAGGATCGTGGCCCTCGAGGGGGGGCCTCGATCGGGACACTCCCTCCTTTGATCGATAGCCTCGAAGATGGCCCCAAGAGGCGCTCCGGGGCTCCCAAGACAGCCCCAAGAGAGCCCCAAGAGGGCCCCAAGAGGTTCCCAAGAGGGCCCCAAGAGGCACCCGAGAGGCCCCCAAGAGGCCCCCAAGAAGCCCCCGAGCGGCCTCAGAGCCCGAGATGACCTCCAAGATGGCTCAGATGGCCCAAGCTGGCTCAAGATAGCTCCCAAAATGCTCCCAACGGCCCCAAGACCGCTCCAAGAGCGCACAAGAGCGCTCCAAGAGAGTCCCAAGAAGCGGTTTGCTGGGTCCTGAGGGGGGAGCTGAGTTGGGGACCCCTCCATCCTGTAATCGATGGCCTCCAAGATGATCCCAAGAAGCCTTCCAGGGTTATCACGAGGGTTCCAAAAGGGCCCGCAAACTCCCAGGGAGCACCAGTAGCAGCAGCAGCAGCAGCAGCAGCAGCAGCAGCAGCAGCAGCAGCAGCCGCCGCAATAATACCTCGTGATGGTTCCATGAGTATTCGTCCGCGTCGTCCTCATCCTAATCCTCGCCCTCCTCGTCCTCGTCCTCATCCGCGTCCTCGTCCTCCTTGTTCTCCTCGTCCTCCTCCTCGTCCTCCTCCTCCTCCTCCTCCTCCTCCTCCTCCTCCTCCTCCTCCTCCTCCTCCTCCTCCCCTCGCCCCCACGCGGTACCCAGGGATGGCCCGAACAGGCCTTCCAAGGACACCCTCTTGCTCGCTGTGTTTCCCTAGATGTGTCTTCCCGTCCCTTTTCCCGTCAACTCTGAAGGGCAGGGTTTCTGAATGGGCTGGTGGGAATTCTTGTTTGTTGCCAGCCGCAGGCGAGCGCGCCGACGGCATGTCAAGGTCCGTGATCAAGGTGAGGCAAATCGGAATATGGCCCAAGATGCCCTCCGCGGTCTGGCAGATGGATACTCGTGATAACCACGATTCGGACAATCGATGCTGATGCCGATGCTGTTTGTGTGAGTTCCCTCCGGGGGGACTCCGAGGAGGAGTTATGGTGCTATGGCGAAAGCGTGAATCCCAGGTGCTAGCCTGACCCCCTCACCACAATCACCGACGAAGTTGCATTCCCGAGTTTGGCGGGAGCCCTCTCACGAGGCGACTCGATGCCTCGAGCCCTTTGCGGGCGGGCTGCTGATAGGGCCCTGGAAGACGCCTTATGCTGCTCCAAACAAAACACCCGCAGCTTGAACAAACAAACACGCCATCGAGAACCCCCTTTGACATGGAGCTCATGACGCTGCGCGGACACAGGGTGTGCTTTCTCGTGAACGAGCCCGAGTCTCGTAGTGCAAGACGTCGCTGTTTCGACATAATGATGACTAGCCTGGAACGCCGTCTTGTAGATGCCCTGCTTACCATCGTCTGCGGTAATTCGCATGAGTCATAGACCTTCGTAACGCGCAATTGAAGCCATTCTTCTCGACGGAGAAGCATCCGCGAACGAATTCCTAAACCAGAACTGACTGCTGCTATACTAAGCCGGCTCCGCTACCATACTCCTGAAGATAACGTGTTGCAGGGCAATGCGGGTAACAAGGCTTCGGCCGATCCAGCCCTGAAGCACGATGCTTTGAAGGTGGCGCACTAAAAAAACCAAACGGAGTCGGATGACATATCGTCCTCAAATTCCGAGTGATACATGATCTAACACACCCTGCTCCTCCTCCTCGTCCTCCTCCTCCTCCTCCTCATCATCAACATCATCATCATCATCATCACCAGCATCACCATCATCAACATCATATCATCAACATTACCAGCATCAACAACATCATCATCATCATCATCATCATCATCATCATCATCATCATCATCATCATCATCATCATCATCATCATCATCACATCATCATCATCATCATCATCATCATCATCATCATCATCATCATCATCATCATCATCAACAGCATCCTTATAATCACCGTCATCAGCATCACCACCATCAGCAACATTAACAACATCATCAGCATCGTCATTATCATCAGCAGCATCATGATCATTACCGTGCTCACCATCATCATCAGCATCATCATAATCATCGCCAGCATCGTCATCATAAGCATCAGCATCATCATCATCATCATCAGCATCATCGTCATCACTATCATCATCCTCATCCTCATCACCATCATCATCAGCAGCATCATCATTATCATCATAATCACCCTTACTATGCTCCTCCACTCCGTTTTCCTCCTCATCGTCCTCATCGTCATCCTACTCCTCCTCCTCCCCCGCCGCCTCCTCCTCCTCCTCCTCATCATCATCATCCTCATCCTTCCGTTCCCCCGCGACGCCGACTACGGCCACAAAATACATCGGTCCTCGATCGCCCTGCCCCAGGGAGGGGGGAGTGCCGCCGAGAAGCCCCCACGGAGAGAGCGGCGCTCTAAGGAGCCCGCGGGCAACGATTGCGGCCCCCACTCTCGCTCCGGCTCCTGCGCGCCGGAGCCGAGGAGCGACCTCGACGGCGCGGGGGCGGTCGGGAGGAGGAGGAGGAGGAGGAGGAGGAGGAGGAGGAGGAGGAGGAGGAGGAGGAGGAGGGAGGAGGAGGAGTCGAGAGGAGGAGGAGGAGGAGGAGGAGGAGGAGGAGGAGGAGAGGAGAGGAGGGAGGAGGAGAGGAGGAGGAGGAGGGGGAGGAGGAGTTAGGAGGAGGAGGAGGAGGAAAAAGACTTAGGAGGAGGTGGAGGAGGAGGAGAAGGAGGAGGAGGAGGCGGAGGAGGAGGAGGAGGAGCGAGGGCCTGTTTACAGAGCTCGCTCGCCGCTCGCTTGCCGTCGCTCGTCGCCCAGGCTCGTGGAGAGGTCCGCGTGCGAGGCTGGAGCTAAAGCATCGAGAGGTGGACGATTTCGACGACGTTCCGAGATTCGAGGTTTGAGGTCTTCGGATGTTTTCGTTGGTTCTCGGCGGCTTTCCAGTCTCGGGATCGCTTCCAACGGCTGCGCCTCGACGAGAGCGTTCCCGGGGTGCCTGGATCGTCCCGAACGGCCGCCGGAGGCCCGAGTTATGACCCGAACACCATTGGGGGATTGGCACAGGGGAGAAACATCGACCGAAACTCGGCGATACATCGCCGACAGATCGGTGATAGGCCCCCGGGGGGTCGACGCATTCCCCCTGAGCGCATCCCCGTCTAACGCTGCCCCTGAGGAGGCGGGACGGAAGAGGGGCCCAAACTCCAACGTCTTGCAATACAACTGATGTGTTTCCTCATGCTTGGCGTCTGGGGCGGGGGCGTCAGAACCCGGCTCGGGGTGAAGCTGGTCCCTGGGAAAGGGGCCCAAGGGGGTGGGAACCCCTTCTGAAGAACATGTTAAATTGCACCAAGTGGCGCTATGCGAATGGTATGTTTGTGCCGCGCTGTCCTACCATGTGATGTTCCGCTGCGAGCTCAGAGGCAAGTGATAGCCAGCATATTCTAACCCTCCTCCACCAGCTTCCCTTCCACTTGGGGGGCCGCACAATGTGGCAATTCCTCATTCCGCTGTTCGAAGCAAGCAACCCGATTATAAAACTTTCAACAGAAACATTGTTATCGTGGGTTCCTGCCTCCTCCACCCCGCCCCTTCCGATGCCGCTCCCGCTGGTAACCTGTCGCAGACAGGCCAAAGCTCACCGCACCGCGCGAAGGAGAAAGAGGAGGTGCAGAAAGAGGAAGCGGCGGATCCAGAGGAGGACGAGGAGACGGAGGAGAAAGAGGAGGAAGCGAGCGAACGCAAGGAGGAGGCGATGCAGGAGTAAGACGCTGAAGGGTGGGGTTGGCTACGACGGAGGAGAATGCGCATCCCAATCGCACTTTTCCTACGTGTATTCAATATGCAATGGTCATCGCTGGAATTGCAACGTCACGGTGCATCATGGCATGGGATGGCATGCGATTGTGTCGCTCGGTCATATGGCGTATCGTGTTGCGTTTCGGTGTGCCGAATCGCGCAACGCAGCGATCTGTTGCGCACGGTGTTGCAGGACGTGTTTCTGGTATGGTCTGGCCTTTTGCGGTCAAACTACGTTATGTTCGTGCTGTGTTGCGCGGATTTAAGATATGCATGCGCTGCTACATGGTGCCAAGACGAGTGATACTCCGCGTATGTTGTAGGTCGTGCCGACCTAGGCATGCATAGTGCCGCTTCACGCCGAACATGCCGCCACCCCTCGGCGCCACGCCCACGTCGAACACCTCGCTCCTATCCTCCCGGGGGAATCCCGTGCCCACTCGAACTGGTAGTCCCAGTCGTGGTCGTCGTCGTCGTCGTCGTCGTCGTCGTCGTCGTCGACGTCGTCGTCGTCGTCGTCGTCGTCGGCGTCATCGTCGACGCCGTCGTCCTCGACGTCCGTCGTCGGCGCCAGGATCGCGGGGACTCGCCCCCCCGGCCCCTGCGATGGAAGCTGCGGAGGTGAGAGGCCGCATGGCGGCATGGGGGAGTGTACCTGAGTAGGGTGGCGAGAGAAACGACAACCTCCGCCGCAGCCCTGGCACGAGAGAGCCCACTACCAAAAGGAGCGAGGCTCCACGGGCGGAGTCCCGCCGCGCCCGCCGCCACCTCGCGGCGCCGCGCCCCCGTCGGACACCTGGCTCCTATCTCTCCTAGGGCCACCTTTAAGGACTGGCACGAATTCCACGGGGAAGCCCCGTTGGGTTCAGCGCCGCGAGTGCAGCAGCAGCGGTAGACGGCGGAATGCAAGCCCGCTCTGTGCTCGCAGGCCCAGCCCCGGCGACTCTGCTGGCAGGGCTGGTGCCCCTGCGGTCATGGCGCGGGCTGCGGCCGCGGCTGCGGCCACGCGGTCGGCCGCTGCTGCCCCCAGCAGCCTCGCGCCGCCACTGAGGTCTAAGGTCTATAAGCCTGAGGTGGGCCCCGATCGCGTTGATGGCGGCCGCAGACAGATGAGATTTCAGTCGGTCGATTTTGGACGGGAGAAATCTGAAGGCCAGCTGAAGGGCCACTATATCTCGTCAGCGCGTTGAACCGTGGCCCTCTGCCACAGCATCGCCGGAGCCATATTCCTATGGGCACGTGTCCTAGGCGCCACTCGCCTGCGCGGACGCTGGTGGCACATCCACTTCTGGGGGATAGCTGCCTCTGCGCAGCGGAGTGCGACCCGCCAGTGGCGCGCGACGTACCGGCGCAGCTTGCAACGCGAAGGCTTGGGAGTTCATAAAGGCGCAGGTGAGTTCATCCAGGGCGGACCGCATGCAGGCACTGATGGTGATCGCGTTCCTGGATGGGCCTCGGCCTTGGAACCGCGCGCTGCCTCCGTTGGAATCGGCGCGTCTAAAATGCCGATGCTTGACCCCGCGGCCGTGGTCGTAGGATGATGGTCGCACGCCCTGGGGGGGTCCGTTGTCAGCGCCAGCGCTGAAAGTGGCGATGGCGAGGAGGTGTAGCGAAAAAGAACGCTGGTCGTGGCTCCCCGGCGGGCCACCGAGGCGACGCCCGCGCGGTCGCCGCTCTGGCCGGGCGGCCATTGGGGGAACTGGCCGTTGACGCTCGCCCCACGTCCCCTCCGCTGCTACCACTTCGCGCGCCCAGTAGTAGAGGAAAAGGAATGCTTTGATAACGCCTGCCTGGGTCATGGCTCCGACTGCGCAATCCAGGGTCGCAGCGGCCGCCGCGGCAGCGGGCGAGCACTGTTTCCGGGGCCGTGCTTGAGCCGCCGCGGTCGACGCCCACGCGCCGCCGCGCGCCGTCGCGCGCGCGCCGGCCCCCGTCGCTCCTCCGCCCGAAGCGATGAATGCGACTGAGACTAGGCTGGGCCAAGTGCCTGCAATCAGTTTGCTGCGTGTCTTGCTGTTGCCTTGCGGCGTCTGGTCGGCGTCGATTTAATCGTCCGCGTGGTTGGGCCAATCAAAATCGTCCTCTGCGTTGTCTTCCACGATGGAACCGTTGTCGCGGGGCGCCCCCACTGGCGGGGTCTGGGGCCCCCGGGCGTCAGCGGCCTCTGTCGCCGGCGGCGGCGGCGGCGGCGCGCTGGCGTTCGGCGGGGCCCCTGGCGGGGGCGGCGGCGGCGGCGGCCGCGCAACCTGCCCCGCTACAGAGCTGCGAACCCAGGATTGACTGCGTTGCAGCTGCAGTTGCGATCGGGTTCGCCGCATTGACAGCGGCGTTTGCCGGTGCCCCGCCGCCGACGCATCGTCTCGGAAATGGCGACGCAGTTGATCAGGCACGCCCCGCGGTCAGCATGCGGCAGTCGGCTGAAGGCCCCTGCATAGGGCATCCATACCCAGACGCGCGCATCCCCGCGCTGGGAGACAGACGTTGCAGGCGTCGCGTTGGCGGCCACATTCGCCAGGCGCGTCTAGGTTGCGCGTTGCACGCAGTAGCGGGGCGTAGCTGGGGCATCGCAGATCTTCAGATACCCGCGCAGCTGTAGAACAACTCCTGCCCCCCGCCTTTTGGCGACCGCATGTCGGACGCACCTTGGATGCGGCCAAGGATGTCCTGGCGCGGGTGATTGGCGAGTCTCTGCCCCGCGCAGTTGCGGCGTGCGCGGGGCCCTGGGGCCTTGCGCGTCTGCGCGAAGCTTGCCCCGTCGTCAGGGCCCTCGATTGGGCCGACGGGGCCCGCGCCCCTGTCTGGACCCTGGACGGGGTCGTCGATGTCCTCCCTGTATAAACGCGGGCTGCAAGACCAGCGCCCCTCGGCCTCGCCGCCTCGGCATCCTTGGTCAGACGGAGTTCGGCCCGAGAGCAGTCGAGACCGCGGTCCCCCGTTGCCTTCGCCATGGCGCCGCGCCGGGCCGTTGTCGGCGAGTTGGGCGTCGGCTGGCCAGCGCCTGAGCCAGTCATGACGGCGCGTGAGGGTTGAACTATGCGCGCTCTGCATCGCACGGCTGGCGCAATTCTGACCGGGGCGCCGTCGTGCGTGGCGCGGGATTTCCTTCGCTTCTGAAGCTGGCGAGCGCCCCGTGGCGCGGCGTGGCCCCTGTCGCGTAGCAGCGCCCTGCGCGGCGCGCGCTGACGCTGCCGAGCGTCGTTGGCTGGCGGATTGCTGGGGCGTGGCAAAAGTAACAGGGCGGCGATGCACGTCGCCAGCGTTGGCGAACAAACAATGTTCCCTCCACCTCTGGCATGCCAAAAACCGAAATCAACGAGGAAATCGCCGCGCGTCGGGGCTGGCCCCCCTACCCTATAGCCCGAGGTCGCTTAAGATAATGCCGCAGACGGCGCACTGGGCGTCGGCGAAGACGCCCACGGGGCCGAAGCACACGAAAATGCCCATCCGGAGGCGAGTCTGCCGTTGCGCGGCTTGCTGGGCAGGCGCCACTGAGCCAAGCGCTGCGAAGCGGCACGGCGCGTGCAAACGCGAGCCTGGAAAATCGAATATCCACTGGCGATGGTGAAACTAGAGGAACTATGTTCACAGCGCGCCCAGTGCCATAGCGGGCCCGCGCTCTGTCCACGCAGGAGCGTACAACATGAATCAACACATCCCTCGGCGAGCGTTGCCTCGACGGGGGGGGGGGGGGG